AGTCCCGGTATCTGCAATAAGTGTTTTAAGCTTCAAGCCTTACGAAACCGACCGATCACAGTCGAATATGAAGAGAACAATCGACTGTGACCGGTCAATTTCTTAAGGCTTAAAACACTATTGTAGACCGGGATTAAAGCGGGATCTTCAATGAGAGCTCTACGTCTTAAGAAATTGACCAATCACAGTCGATTATTCTCCTCACATTCGGCTGCGATTGGACAATTTCTTAAAGCTTAAATTCTCATTGTAGACCCCGCTTTATGGTAAGGGCGACTTTCAGCAAGCTTCAATCAACGATTCTAACTCGACGGAATTGACCAATCGGATTTCTCGCAGAGCTGATCAATGCGAACGGTCGATTCCGTTGAGTCGATCGTTGATTAATTTAAATTTAACCGGAGCTCGCCGAAAGTCACCCTGACACTCCTTAGAAAAACGGACCTTCCGACTGTAATTTCTTCATTTGCGCGATTACAGTTGCAGATATACCAAACCTTTTTTCTCTCAGTGAAAGATACGAGCGGTCGCACTCGCGGAACGGTCTCACCCTCTCTCTCTCTCTCTTTCTCTCTCTCTCATAAGCGGTTATCAAGCACGACAACGGTTTATTGTGCGTGAAACGGCGATGTTATATCGTCATCGGTCGGCTGCGACGCTCGATATGGTCGCGCGCGTAAATCGACGCGGTTTAATCGGCCGCTTTGTGCGTCGCTAATTAAAACGGCAAGCACTGGAATCTACGATCTGAACGGAGTGAACGAGCGATTTAATGCGGGCTTTATCTGGCCGACAAATCGGTATCGCGATCTCACGCCACGTTCACGTTCTTAAATTCGGCCGAGCTCACGTTTTTATTATCGGAAACGATCCTGCAAGCGGACGTGTAACCCCGCCGCGTAACGGCCGCGTAATGCCTGTGATTTCTCGCCTGCAATCAGTCCGATAAGATTTCACGCTGCGTCCTCCATCTTGTCTATACACATATATATATATATATATATAAATATAAATAATTACTCTCTCTCTCTCTCTCTCTCTCTCTTTCTCCCCCCTCACTTCCCTTTCTCTTTCCCTCTCTCTTTTTCCACCTCCCCTCTTTCCCGCTCGCTCTTAAGTAAGTTCGTGATTTTCTTAATGAGGAATCATCTTACGTTTTCGGCTTCGTACTTCGGTCTGCGCGAGCGAAACTTTCGTTCCACCGTTAAACTATTCATCGGCGCCTCACTGTAGCGGGGATTCGCGCGGCCGGAAATGAGACGGCTCATTTCATCGATTGACGCGCGAATTAACAATGGTGATGCGTAATCGTAGTGTTTTCGTGCACCGGCGCGGAAAAAAACGAGCGGACGCGCGTTGTCCGCGTCACGAATTGGCTCGCACGTGCGAGCGCGCGGACTTTGTGTAACGCGCATTATTCGAATCGTTGTCGCGCGCGCGCGCGAATATTAGCGCAACGTCGTGTAACTCCGCGCGGCGGCGACCAATCGCGAGATGCGGTTATAATTCACTCTGCCGCACTCGCGTAATTTGTCTTCCTACGTAAAATGCGTCGAGAGCGGCACGTGCGCGCGCGATATCGACGGTCGCCGATGAGTCTCGCGATGAATCTTCCCCCTCCCCCCTTCACCGCCTACTCTCCCCCTACGTATATCGACTGACTTTCATTCGCTTAAATATCCGGACGGAAAGGGCGGTAAACAAGAAATGTTTAATTTAATTGGAACGCGTAGTGATTCGCGATCGTACGATGATTGATACTCGGCGCTTCTTTCGATCGCCGCGACGCGCACGAAGAAGAATCTTTGGTTGAGTTGTTGGCTGGGAACTGGAAATTCCGGAGTCGACATTTTCATGCTACTTTGAAGCGTCTTTTTAAGGGTAGTTTGCACCTACTTGGATAGCCTGTATACAGGAAAAGGAAATTTGTATTAATTCAAGACTCATGTGCTTGTATGTAAGAACGAGAATATGTAATATTATATGAAGATAAAAACTTGTGCTTACATGTAGAGAAGTTCTATGTAGCTCCATTAGAAATATCATTCTTGTTGTGCGAGAATAATTTTCGTTAGCTGAAAGAAAAATATATTCGATAGAAAGACCGATATCGTCAAATTAAGAATTGTATCAATTCGAAGGTACCATTCTTTCTATCTATTGTTTTTTTCCTTTCAATTCGTGAAAATTGTTCTTGAATTATGAGAATATTATATATTTAGTGCAGCTATATATATAGGAATTTTTTCATGTAAGTTGACCTTCATATAAGATTATATATTCTTGTTTATGGTATATGAGAGTATGAGATTTGAATTGGTACTAATTTTTTCTTTCACAGAGATTAATGGAAAACCTATTTTGACAATATTGACATTTATTAATTCCGTCCCTCTCTCCCTCTCTCTCTCTCTTTTGAACCTTTTACTTCTACAGATTTCATTTTAATGCTATCTCGAACAACCTATTCTGACATTGAAACCGCGAAAACGCAAATTAAGACATCATCACGGTCAAAGTAAGGGTAACTTACATTATCAGAGTTGAAATTGCGTGGATCTATTCTGCTGTCTTAGCTCCTACCGTGTTGTAGAATTAAAGGTTCAACATGGCAACGAAAATATTCCGGATCGGCCGTTTTCTCCAACCGAAACGCGTCCGGTCTATTTTACTGTTAGATAAATCCGATTGAACTTTCTTCTCCGTGCGGAAAAGTTTTCGACGGGAGCGGTCTTCCATCTCGGCCTTTGGAATTCGCGTATACTCGGGGAGAGCTCACGAGATTCACAGGCGGGCAAGCGCCGATCTTTCCCGAGACACGAGGAAGGTAAAGAAGGAAGGGAAGCTCGTGGCACTTCGCGGCTGATCGAGGTCGCCGGTTGCAATTTCGCCGTCAATCAGTCGCGACGCCGGCTTCGCGACTCTACAATTTCCGCGAGTGTGAGCGAGCGAGCGCGCGCGCCGACACACAGAATACGTGTCACGGCCGATCGAACCGCGTAAGTATGGAAGCACAATGGCATAACTACTTACGTGCCGTTGTACCTGTGCGGTCAGAGTTGGTTTAATCGTTAAGCCCGACCGGCCGTTTCCGTTAATGGTCAACGCGTGCCAGTCGCGCGAACTTTCCGCAACGTGCTTTTCCGCGCCGCCGGTTTGTCATATTTTCATTATGCGACAGAGACCGGCGATACAACCCGAATGTATCGACACGTATCGTGGATGACAGTATCGATATACAAAATATATCGGACGTCTTGTATCGATATCATCCATATCGGCGCTTGAATCGCATAAAAATATCGGATTCAAAGCAGGATCGGGAAAGTTGGAAGATGCAACATTGAAAAATCACCGTCCGTTGCGAAATCATTGAGAAACTAACTTCTAACGGTAATGACGTTATAAATGATTCACGCGTTACTTTTTATAAATAACTCTGATTAGACGTACCTATGCTGTATATGAATGTAATCGTGTGAATGGCGTGTGTTCGTAATAATAATTGATTTGTTATGAACGATGTGTGAAATCTTCGTAGGGTAAAATATCGATGCGAAATAACGATATTTCGTCATTAAAATGTCGATATATTTCAAGTGTAGATTCTGTATCGCCGATCTCTACTGTGCGATTAATTTTCGCCCGTTATTCGACGACCCCGTCGCGCGTCGCCGCCAGAACGTTGTCAGATATATGCGGGACGANCCCCCCCCCCGCCTCCGCGCAAACGAACGATCGCGGAAAAGCGTTGCTTTTTCCTAATAATGATCACCAGAAATGTTTCACGTAATCGGTAATGGGGAGTCTGCGGCGGGAGGGAAGAGAGGGAGGAATTACGAAGCACTCGGAGATGGCGGAGACCGGAGTTTCGTTACGATATCGTATCGGGTGTGCAGCGTAGCGAGCTTTCGTGGCCGCAGTCGGTCGATGAAAGCTCGCGTTGTCGTTGCGGAGAAACGAGCGGCACCGTAAAACCACGCCGAATAGCGCCCGCGTCCGAGTTGCGAAGCCATTTGCGTGCGTTTCCTATCGCTTTCACACATTGACATTGTGTGTTCGCAATTGGTCTCGACGATAAACGCAAAGAGAGAGAGAGAGAGAGAGGGAGAAAGAGGGGGGGAGGGGGAGAACGAAATGAAAAAAATTGGATAGCGCATTTCGGTCGGTATCGGGATGTAGATTGGATTTTTAACTCACAGCGATTGGCACAAGTTATTCCATAAATAGGATCCATAGGATCATAACGCAACTTTTTCTCTTTCCCTTCCCCCTCTCTTTCCCCGTCTTCCTCTCCCCCTCATATTTTACTTGCATTCTATTCCTCTTGTCGTTATCCTCTTATAACGATGTGCAAAACCGTCCGTCCGATATATACGCACGCGTAAATCCGGCGAAAAAGAAGAGAGAACGAAGCAGGACGAGTACGGCGGTGCTCCACGTTCCTTTCCCCTCCGTTTCCGCCGCTTATAGCGAATGTATAGCAGAACCCGCGGACATAGAACTTCCGACGCGTGCAATTAAAATGAACCTTAGCGATAAACCGACGGCCTCGAGTGTGTGCTCGACGCGTCTATATATCGACCTTCCGATTGCGCGCCGTCGACATGTCGCCGCGCTGTCGCAGCCGAACGGCCGATGAAACGTAAGATTTTGGATTCTGCCTGCGATGCATGCACTTTCTCCCCCTCCCTCTCTCCTTCCCTCTCCTCTCCCTCCGGACTCCCGAAACTCTCGAAACCGAGACGGGGTGACTTTTGCTCGAGTAAATTGCTCGTGGATTCCACAGGCGTGCACGAGAAGCGACGACGCTTGGACGCGATGCTCCGAATCGAGGATCTCTCAGTATCGGGAACGCGCATCGTCCTGAAGCTCGACTCGTGCTCGATCAGCGCGCACGAGTCTGAGCTCGGGATGGTCTAAATAGAGCGAAATCGGGAGGGGAGGTCAGGTGGACTCGTCCGCTTATGGAACCGTCATTCGCGGCGTTAAGAGCGAAAGAGCGGGCGAGCGCAGAGATCCGGCCTGAAAATAGAAGCGCGTTCGCGCGATCGAGGCGCACCTTGGCGCACGATGACGCCGGAACCGCGGCGGCGCTCGTAGCAACGTCCATCGGGGAAGATTATGGAGCCTGATCGTCAGGCCCTCCAGATCGCCGGCGCATGTCGAGACTAAGGTATGGCCGCGGTAGCTGGCATCTATGGCATTTCAGAGGAACGACACACCAGATACTCCTCCGAGCATCGGCAACGTGATCAGATGTGAGTTGGAAAATCGGCCACGATTAAGATATTTCCGGCGTCGAGTCGGACGAAAGTAGGAAATCGGTCGCGCCCGAGAACGATTTGCGCGAGAGACGTGAGGTGTGTACGCTTGAAAACAAATTGCTACGTTCGAGTGTAATATTTGTTAAGGTGTGTTACACTAAGCTATTTTATTTGGACCAGGCAAATATCACTAGAGTGCAGCACACTGGAAGAAAGTTCTACGTTCAAGTAACATTGATTTAATCCAAATCAAATAGACCGCTGCAATACGCCTTGGCAAATATTTACCTGAAGGTAGCGATGTTTTCCTTTTACTTTTTTCAGTGTACGTTAGTTTCATCGAAATCGAGGGAGAGGGAGTTTTGATGATCGCGAAGATTAATGATCGATCTTCGATTTTCCGCGATGTCGCCTCCTTGTTGCGAACGTATTGATTTTTCTCTTCGCTCGAATCGTCGAAATATGCCGTTCCGACGGTAGGATCGGCCCGATCGAGGGGAGATCTCGAGGAAGCGGAAAACAGAGAGAAAAGAGGGGCCGAAACGCTTAGAATCACGTGGACTCGGCTAACGGGAGATTTCCCTTAATAAACGAAGGCCGGAGAGCGGAAGGATTAACCTGGGCACACCTGGGCAAACCGTAAATATATACGTCCCTTGGCGCCCTTGCGCTTCTACGGCTGCGTCAACGTTGAGGAAGCGGCGGGTGCCGCCGCGTTTAAGAATTCATCTCGCGCCTGGAAGGAAACTTTTGCCGTTGTTGTTGCGCCGCGCACGGACGTCATTTGCACGCTTACCTTAAAGACCGCAACAAATATAGCCGACGTTATAAATATGTGAAACTCTCTCGTGTATCTCCCGCGGAACAGCGGAATTACGCGCGCACGTTTCTGTACGCCACGCCGTAGGAACTCGGATAAACTGCATAAGGAAAGTTACCGTCGACCTGGCAGGGAGGGAGGGAAGGAGTGTGGATTACATCGCGTGCGTATTTAAAATTCAACCCGCGGGACAATGGTCGAAATAGCCCTCGCGGAAAGCGGATGTGTCTCCGCGGATTGACGCTTCTCGGAGTCGAGTTGTTCTCGTAAGCTCGCATTCTGCGACGAGAAAATGGATATTGTTGTTATAGGGACGCGCGGGGCGCGGCGATAAGAAACTTGGAACGGGACGACGCCGAAACGCCGAACTATGGAAGGTCCTGGTTGGTTGTTTCGCGTGGACTCGCAGAGGGAGGGCTCGCGGAAGAGGATTTATTGCGCGCCGCAGCGAGTTCGGGACGCGATATCGCTCCTTCTACTACCCTTCCCCTCCCCCCCCCCCCCC